CATCAAGAGAAATTTATATTACGACATATTTTGGTTCACCACATTGTTCAAATTTTTTTTTTATTTATTGAAATTCACTTCATAAGGTGTACTAGGTAAATCTTAATATTATATTAATATTCATTTATGTTTATAAAAAATTTGTTATATATTATAATAATAATAGTATAATATACAAATATTTCTATAAATATAAATTTAGAAAAAAGTAGTTATTTATTAAAGAACTTTTAAAAATAACCAACATGTTGTACATAAATAAATATGCGATTCACGGTTTTAAAAGTGTTTAAAAATAAAAAGTGAAATTCAATATTTTATAACTAATATAAAAATCTGTAAAGCTTTTTTTAAAACCATTTATATTTTTGTGTCACTTTCGGGAAATTGAATCAATTTCATAAAATAAATCCAATACTCGAGAAGTCCGATAAAAATGTTTGTACGTCATTGCAGAAAAATAATCAAATAAAACCTGCATTACGAACCAGTATTTTAAATTCGTCAATTCCTTTAGTATATTAATAAAAATAACAATAATAATAAAAGTATTATTATTACTAATATTGATAGAGTGAAAAATATATAATGCGCTACCATAAAATGGCGCTAAAATTGCTGAAAAAGCTCTCAATATTTTGTAATTGAAAATTATCACAATTTAACTTTAACCGTATGTTATTTATTATTATTTATAGTTAATATTCTTTTCATTACTATTTTTATTTTTAATGAAGAATATTATCACATAAGGAAATTTCTATTCCATAAGTTTTATCTTTAAAAAATTAAACTAAAATTGTTTGGTTAGGGGACGCCACCATCAGATGGCGCTAACGTTGCTCCAGTAACGCGCAACATTTTTAATTCAAAAATTTGTTAGAATTTGAATTTTACCGAATGTTATTAATTTATTATTGTTTATAGTTAATATTTTATTATTATTGTTATACAGTATTATTGTTCAGTTTTTATTTAACAAATAATTTTTGTTAAATAGTTAAATACTAAAAAAATAACAATAATAATAAATAAAACGAACTCGATTTGAGAAAGTAAATTTTTTGTCGACAATATTATTGTTTTATGAAACTTATTTAAACGATGCAAAAAAATATTCCCGTTTGGTTAGGGGACGCTACCTCCAGATGGCGTCAGAGTTGCTCGACGAGCGCGCAACATTTTGAAATCGAAAATTTATTAACTTTATTAATATATATAAATTCTATGTCAAAAATTGTAAGATTATAATATTAGTATACAAATAAAAAATTCTATTAAGCATAGAAAATATGAATCGAAAAAGAAAATAAAATTTCAGTCAATAAATAAAAATAAAATTCTCTTCATTTTCAAATTCTATAAATATAAAATAAAATTATAAATTGTAAATATTTCAAGATGAGTGGGAAAAGTGTGGGGTGTTTTCGTATTAAAATATCAAATCTTTCTCGATATCGTTCACCATTTTTCGTCCTCAGGAGAACGAGATTAGGCGTCGTTTTCACCCGATGGCCTGTACGAAACGGGGGCACAGCGCCCCTATATCGTTGCAAGAGTTTTATGGTTGCAAGGAAATAGGTTCGTGAGGTCAGGGATTGAAACGAGAGCCAAGAAGGACACAATAGAGTGCACATTGCAAACGTGGCATACATATTTGCAAGTAATACTTTATATATATATATATATATATATATCGCAAAAATGTCAATTCGATTTTACGGAACTAAAAAAAAAATATAAACCGGTATTTATTTGAAATAACTTTTTTACTCCCTCACTTTTAATCGAACTATAAAAAACTTCTATTTTATAAAAAAAAATGAATTTTTCATTCTTGGAAAACTGCTTTTTGAAATTACTTCGCTTTTCACTCTTAAACAATAATTATTTTCCAAATGTAACACTTAAAGAATTTGTGAATATTTGCCAAAGAAAAATTCATCTATTTCCTGAATTTACAAAATCAAATTTTCTTTTTATTTAATCAAATTTCACAAAAGTAGAAATTTTATATTGGAAACTAAATTTCTCTAAATAGAATGAGTAAGAATGTTTCTAAAGAGAAATTTTTTTTTCCATCCAACATATAAAGTCCAATATCCATTTCCGAAAATCGCGAAATATCTTTGAGGGAAATAGGTTTTCGGTGTAGTGGCGTATACGAGATTCGATTATCAAACGTCGAATATAAAGTTCAAATAAAAGCAAAAAGTATGTCTCTCCAGACAAAGAATGAAAATCGTATATATATAGATAGATAGAATATGTGCCTTGTTTACCGGATGCCGATTCCTGAACTGAAGGATAAGAATCGTTGTTTATTGTCGAGAAAGAAAATAAAAGGCACCTTTAGTCTCACTATAAAAGATTTAGTTTAAATTTTCAAGAAGTTGGATTTCACACGCGGAAAATAAATATTTTTCCTTACAATTTGAAATTGATTTTTCTTGATACAGAGACGAAAAATTTATATATGTATTAAAAATAAAAAATTAATTTGACTAATAATAATATAATGATTAAAAAAATAAGATTACTTTCGTTTCATTCTTCAGATAAATAGAAATTTTTCTGGAATTTTATCCAGAAAAATCCAAATTAAAATTTTATGTTATGGTTAAGGGACGCTACCGTCAGGTGGCGTAAATTTTAATTAGAATTCAACGTCTTGGTTAGTAGACGCTACCGCCAGGTGGCGCAAAGTTTGTCAAAAAGCGCGTAAAATTTTAAAATTCAAAAAATTATGTTAAATTTACCATTTAAATAATAAATTATCATTTTGATTAAGAGACGGTACCGCCAGATGGCACTAAGTTTGCTTAAAAATCACTTATAATTTTAAAATCAATCTACTGAATTTAATAGAATTTTGTAGTAATTAATGTCGATGATTTAATGCCATCTATCACAATTTACCAAACAAGAGAAGATGAAATAACCTCCACAATATTAATAATAGATAATTAACGAAACGAAAATGCTAATTAACGAAAAAATAAGATAAAAAGGAAAATCAACGAGCAAGATAAATTCTAGTAAATGCTGTGAGATTATCGTGTGTGTATGTCCACAATGTAGATGAAACCAAAAAAGAAAAGAGCGGCACAGTGTTTTCTGCGAGAAAATAAACGAGGAAACTTTCAAAAATAAAAGACAAGTGGAAAGAATAAAAAAGAATTTCAATAGAATAAAGAAAAGGAAAAAATGAAAATGAGAAGAGAATAAAATTAGATAATAACTGCATGTAAAGAGAAAGAAATAATAGAAAAAAGGAATATTAATCATCATATAATTAATAATATACTGAGAAAAAGAATAAGATAAAAATAAATTTTTCTATTTAAAAATCTATTTATTTTAAAATTTATTTTATCAAAACTAAAAAATCAGCTTGTAACTAAACAAGAAAATTCAAAAAGTACAAAAATCAAAAGAGAAAGCAAAAAAGAATAATAAAGAAAAATAATTATGAAAGTGAGGGAAAAATAAATGGAACAGAGAAATACAGCAAAAACCCGCACCTTCCAAAAAAAAATAGGAAGCGAAAAAAAAAAGAAAAAAAAAGTACCCACTGAAACAAAAGAAGGAAATGAAAAATAAAGGGAATGGAAAAATACTGTGTTAAAAAAAGAGAAGAGGAAGTGTAAAATAAAAGATAAAGAAAAACAAAATAGTGACTAGAGAAAAAATGGAACAAGAAAATAATGTAGAAGTAAAAAAAAAATAAATAAGGTAGAGAGAGAAAGAGAGGCAATGGGCAGAACAGTGTGTTGCAATTATTAGTGGAACTGTATTCTCGCGTGGTTTTTAAATGGCTTCCTTTGTGGCGGGCAACGGTTTTGGAATTCGCGTGAAATTAATTCAATTTCCGTTGACTATGTTTCAGGCGAACAAACGATCCCACACCACTGGTCGTGCGGTCGTTTTCACTCCAGTGCATTATCTATCAGCGATACCGCACAGTGTCATATATCGCTTAACAAGCGAACGAACTCTTCATCCACCCACCCTTCTCCCCCTATCATTTTGTGACGCATTAGCGACTAATGGCTGAATTATGCACAAGACACACGTTTTATGGACATAGATTGCATTAATATCAAAAATTCAAATCACTCCCATTGTTCAATGACAATTTTTTTTTTGTTGCTTTTTTCATAATTTTAAATTATTCTCTCTTGAATATTCATTCTTATGATTAAATGACACCTCATGTCCTAATTATATTTAAAAGAAATTTTTTTTATTCGAAAAAAATGTTTAATAAACTTTATTTTAACGAATTAAATAAAAATTATACTTTGGTTAAGGGACGCTACCACTAGATGGCACTAACGTTGTACAAGTAATACACAAAATTTTTTCATTTTTAAGAAAACGAAATTATTATATTTAATTTTTAATAGTGTCAATTATAACATAAGAGGATTTCTATTCAATAATTTCATCGTTCGACAATATTATCATCGTTTTATGAAATTTATTTGAACGAATTCAGTAAAAATTGATGTTTAGTTAGGGGACGCCACCACCAGATGGCGTTAACGTTATGAAATCTAAAATTTTTTAATTCTTAAGAAAACGACATTATTATATCTAATTTTTAATAGTGTAAATTATCACATAAGGGAATTTCTATTTAAAATATTCATCGTTCCACAATATTATTATCGTTTTATGAAATTAATTTGAACGACTTAAATAAAAATTCTCCTTTAGTTAGGTGACGCCACCAGCAGATGGCGTCCAAGTTGTCCAAGTTGTGTGCAACATTTAGAAGTAGAAAATTTATTACTAAATTTTAATTTTACCGAGTACTTCCTACATTTATTTCACTTAATATTTTATTATTATTATTGTTAAATAGCAATTAATAATAACATTAAATATTGCAGTGAATTTTTTTGGAAAATAAGCGGAACCGTAACTCTATTTGAGAAAGTAAATTTGTGGACATAGATTTGTAAATAATAAAAATATAAAGCAAGCTAACTCACCTGTAGATAACCACCGGAGCAGGTTGTTGCGTTCTCAAGTACGCCGACTTTAAACTTTTTGAAACGAACTCGCAGAATCCAATCCCTGGGAGTGCCACGAAAAGCTCGAAAACGATACCAGCAAGTGAGTGGTTTTCCCCAAGTCTTTGATGTCACTGCAGGACTCGACACGTCTTCATAAATGTCCACCGTTTTGTTACAATGATCTCGCTCAGCTGGAAAAACAAACATCTACTTGTAAACCAGTGAAGACTGTTTGCAAGCAATTGAATTTTTTATAAAACAAATTGGAGGAAATTTTTTTTTCAAAAAACTTAATTTAATCAACATACGAAAGTTGTTTTTGATTTAGAGAATAATTACAAACACTTTAAGTACTAATTTAACAACCGATTAAAATAGAATAGTTTTTTTTGAGAGAGAGGGAAAGAAAAAAATTTTTCCTTTTTACAATGTTGATATAATTTTCAATGTAGGTAGAATGCAATATTTACTGAGTTGTAGAAATGCATTCTGCATTTCAGAGGAAGTCCCAGTGAGAGTTACCTGACTGCCTGTTATCACTGAAGCATATAATACTCTCCTTGTTTTCTCATCACAAGGTGGTAGAAATGTCTGAATGTTCAGTATAGTAACAGTCGGTATGACATGGTCTGACTCTACACAAATGGCGTTGGGGAAATAATCTGAGGCATAATTTATATTAATGCACTTTCAAATGGGATATTTGATGCTATTACCAGAAAGCTTATTCTCCAATTCCGCTCTCGAGCTTCTGAATATAAGTTTAAAAATTTTATTACACTCATTTTTTTCAACCCATCGTGATGGGTTTTACAAAAAAAAAATAAATAAACTACAATTTTTTTACAGAAAATTTTCCGCAATTCTCTTATTTTTTAGTATAAAGAAAATGTAATAATTATTACAGTAATAAAATTTTTATATTTAAACAAATTTAAAATAGAAAGTCGTTTTTAGTTAGGAGACGCCACCGCTTGGTGGCACTGATGTTGATCAAATTAAAATTTTAGATTTTCCATTCAAATAAAAATTTTGCGTTTTGGTTAAGGGACGCTACCACCAGATGGCGCTCAAGTGACTTAAAATGCGCGCTCATTTTGAAATCCATTAATATTCAAACCAATTTTGTAGAAATTTTAGTAGATATTTTTTTCAACCGTGCAGCTTCTTATCGTTTAATTTATTTATTGTACTTTAAAAAGGAGTGAGTAAAATATTTATATTATAAAAAATATAATAAATAAAACATTGATACTTTTTAATCAATATATCTTGTTTGGAAAAAATAAAAAGATAAATCTACCTTACAAAAAATTCCCAACTTTTATTTATGTATATATACAATTTTATTTCTATTTATCATCTTTTCATTTTCACATGCCATCTTTTCGCTATTATTTATTACTGTTTTTATCTTCATTTATCATTTATTTTTCTTTTTTTTTCTCTCCTTTCGTTATCGTTTTTCGTTTTTTGTCCCAGTTAAGTCGAAAACGCAAGCACACGTCGTTTATTTGAAGGGGGGAAAAAAAAGGAGAGGAGAGAAAAACCCAATTTTTTTTTCTATTTTTGTGTCTGTGTGTTTGTGTGAGTCAAAGGTCACGTCGAACGTGTTCGCGCATTGTGGAAAGGGGTTGGGTTTTTAGTGGAGCACGTTCTAGACGACGACGTTACGAGGAGAAGAGCTATTTCCTCTTGCCCGGCCTCGGATCTTATTACGGGGAAATGTAACGTCACGTGTCGAATTACACAGAGAGAAACTGTTACCATTGATCCCCGACCGCTGCTTCTACTGCCGCTATACACTGGTACTGTGCGTGCATAGCCGAAATTTATCTTTAATAGAGGTTGATAGTCTTATGGAGCATTTGAAGCGGATTATATTGTCCATGCGGTTGATCTTATTACATTAACGGTTACGTGGGAATTTCTAAAGCTCATTTCCTGTATCAACCAGTTCTCTCTCAGAGATACCACGATTTTCCACAATGTCCAGTCGTAGATAAAATCTTCAATTTCATTATGTAACTTTGTATCGTGTCAGGAGAAAACATCTTTCCTTTATTGTATTTTATCTTTACTTATATTTATATTATTTTCATTAATATTATTATTATTATCGTTGTTATTATTATTACTATCATTCTTATTATTATTGCTATCATTCTTATTGTTATTTTTAATTCAGTATCATTGTTAATTTAAAGTTTCTTTTCTGTATTAGTTCACTGACGCTACCGCAAGGCGGCGTTGACATAACGTACGCCTGGCGGTAGCGTCAGTGAACTAACACGGAAAATTTTATTCCATTTCTTCTATTAGATTTTAATTCAACATTTCTATTAAGTTTAGGCAACGTCAACGCCATCTAGCGGTAGCGTCCCCTAACTAAGACAGAATAATTTAATAATTTAAAAACATTAAGAATTCTAACAGATTTTATTTTAGATTTTTTATTTAACACTATTTTTGTTTAGACACATATTTTAGTGTCAATTTTAAGTAAATTGAAAATGTTAAACAAGAAATACATTGAATTGAAATTCTATGTTAAATAAAAATACGATTGTAGTGAACTTTCCTCTTTCATTCAACATAGTGTGTGTGTGTGTGTGTGTTTTTTTTAATAAAAAGAAAAACTTGTGGAATCGAAGAAAGTTTTTTTTTCGAATCATATATTGTGTATAAAACTTGTTTCGCGTCAAATCGAGAAGATAATTTCTAAGAGGTCGAAGTTTCAAGAAACTTCTTTGAATAGAGTTTTGTGAGATCGTGAAAAATATTCTCCACTCTTTAAGTTACATGCGAAGTGTCAGATGTAAAAAAAGAAAGACTACTCGATTTTTACACATGTAGTTTTGAACTTTTTGAAACTTATTTCGAATCTTTGAAAGAAAAATGATAAGTTGAAAAGTTTCATCATTACCATTGTGATTCTTTCAAATTACAATTTTAAGCTTAAGTTATTAAAGTTCCCACCATGTTTACTGCTTCCAATTTCGAAGCATTGAAACTTTCATGTTATTATAGACTTAATTAAAAATCTCTTCAGTTTAACTAACTTGAATAACATTTTGTGGCGTATTAGTTAAGAAAGTTTGAACTAATTTGGTTACTGGGGTGGTGGATTGTTTATGACAAAAATCCAATAACAATATTGACTATATTGGTGCAAATAATTTCAGTTATTGAAGTGGCTAATTTTTTTCGATAATTAATTAAATAATTATCGTTAATTATTTTTTCTTGGTTTATTATTTCGTGGTATATTATTTATTAATATTATATGTAGCGTATATTCATTTTTTAGACTTCAAACTCATTGAATTTAATTTCGCAAATTAATTAATTACCGGTAATTAATAATACTTGAGTTACAAATTTTTTTTTAATATCAAAAGAAAGAGAAAAATGATAAATTCTAAAAAAAATCCGTTAATTTTATTTATGACACGAATTTTCAAATTACCAGAAGGGAAAATGGATGTAATAGAATAAAAAAATGGAATTAAATAACGAAATAGAGAAATTTCCCTGATGAGAAGAAAAAGGAAGAAAATTGATATAAAACATTCCAATTAAAGTCGCGAGCCTCATTCGAGACGAGATTTATCCGTTGAAATTTCATCATTCACATTCTTTGAATCTTTCTCTCTTCCTCTCTAAGCATCGAGGGAACTTTCTGAGATCGAGTCACGTTCTATATCCATTGTGTAAGTAATTAAATTAACTCGCTGGAAGATGTAAAGTTAGATCGAAGCAAGTTACATTGGTCATATAAAATGAAGTCGTTCAGGAATTACTCCTTGTTCCCTGAAACTCCGACTGCGCAGTCTATTAATTAGCACCTGGGGATTATATAAACGAAGAGAGATCCCGCGTATTCTATGGGTTAAAAAAATTGTGAAAAAGAAAGAAAGAGACAAATCCTATTCTTTTCTTCAACACAGAATTGTTCAGCCAATGGCATTTTAAAGTCTTTTTGTCATTGGATTTCAAGTGGAAGGTTACTGAGTAATGATTTTCCTTTGCTGAATAATAATTAGAGAAATTAATTATATGAACGAATCTCTAGGGAATTTTTAAAATTTTTTACTTTTCCTTTCTTTTTAGAAATATAAATACTTGTTCCCTCCTTCTACTGGATTTTTTTCATTTCTTTCTAGAAGATACAGTAAAATTTCTGTAGGTAAATTTCTCTTTCACTAAATTTTAGTTAAATTTTCATGAAATCGAATTAATATTCAACATAATCTTCATAGTCTATCGATTTTATTCGTAACTCAACATTATATAAAGTCGATAAATTTGCATTTAGTAGAAATTGTCAATTGACAGAATTACTGTGTTAACCATAATTTTCAAAGCGATTGAAAATATTGAAATTTATTTCGTTTTCTATTGTTTCGGTTTATGGACAAAAAGAAAAAATTCCAAAATGATGAAACAATTATTTTTAAGTAAAATTATTTTCAAACATTTTTAGGTAAAATTTTTTTAAGGTATTTTTTTAACAAATATTTTTGAATAGCACAATTTTTTTGAGAAAAAATTCAAAACAAAAGATTACCAATATTTTTAAGTAACACAATTTTTTTAAAGAAACTATTTTTAAGCAAAACAATTGTTTTAACAAATATTTTTATGTAAATAATTTTTTTAAATTATGTAAAGATATTCACAAACTAAATTTCTCGTTATAATTGGTGAATTACAATTATTTATTCTCGATGACAAAAAAATGTTTAAAAGAAAAAAAATTTCGTATTCTGTAATAAACTTTCAAGAAAGGGAAAACTTCAAATGTTAAATACATTTCCCTTGCTTCTCTTGGCAAATTCGAAAATTTGACAGAAAGATGAAACTTAAACTTTGGTAAATGTTCTCAAGAATAGTTTCCTTTATTAAAATATATTCCCTTAAAATATTGAAGAAAAATTATACAAAAAATCCCGAGATTTGTACAATTACAAAATTTTTCCTTCTACTTAAATTTATAAATATTTGAATTAAAATTACTTGAAGATTTTTGCCAAAGAAACTGATTTTTCGTTAGAATAAATTGGTGTTAATTGCTCTAAATCTAAACTCATTTTAATTAGACGAAAAAAAAATTTGTAATTCAGTAAAATCTGAACTATAACCAATTTCTGTTAATTTTTACTATATTTCTGAAGTAAATTTTTGTTTA